TACAATCTAATTAGGGAAAAGTGGACATTGTTTTAGTAACTTTAAGATCTTGAACTCACCTTCTGGTGGAATTTTTTGCATGACTAATACTTAGATGGAAGCTGGACCAGGGCCATTAGACGTTCGAATAGAATTTAATCTTGCTTACTGAAGTGGAATTCAAAAAATAAGTTTGCAAGGTATTTTTAAGAAACTGATTTTATTGCAAGGAAAGAAATAAACAGTTTCTTTCTACAGTTGACTTTTACTAATCCTGGCAGATATTTCCAAGCCAGTTAATAAAATGTTATATTAGGTTCTTGTATCTTGTTCATCTGGTTTTCATCAATACAGCATCCCAGGAACTCAGCTTAAGTTCCTGAAAAGAGTGCCTGCTCTCCTGGTCCACCCCAGAATGGAGACCCCGATCTCCCCACCACCCCTTGTCTCCGAGCCTTCGTTACTTCGTGTAGAGAAACTTCAAGTTCAGATGAATCCATGTAGCTGAAGAATTACTTTAGATTTTTAAATCGGATCATAACATGCCACGGGGGAATCCTATGTATGAGTGCAGCTATTTTAAACCAATTACGGGCCAAGTCATAAGGAGTAACAGATGATCCCTTTACAGCGTCTTCTCGTATGGCTAACAAAGCACCATTCCATTAACATGAGTGTGCCATTCACAATGTACTAGTCATTGATCATGTAAACTTATTTTTAGAATAACTGGCCTATTCCACTGCCAACTGCAAGGATATATATATATTACACGTACACACACACAGGGTAGGGCAAAAGTAGGCTTACAGTCATATGGAAAAATAATAATAATACAAGAATAAACTCTGTATTTCGTGTGCTCACAAGTGTAAACTTACTCTCATTCCACTCTGTAAGTGTGTGTATATGTATCTTTATTTTTTTTATACTTTTTCAACAAGTATGTATATTAGTTAAGCCATACTTCAGGATCCCAGGGTGAGATGTATCCCGGTCCCCCTTCACCTCCTGGGAGAAGGATGGAGGGCAGAGGACAGGCGGGTGCAGCCAGTCAGATCTCCCCAGGGAACACGCTTTCTGCCTGGTGCAGAGGGACCTGTACACACACGGGTACCATTTGCACACAGAGCCATCGCCCCCTTCAGCAGTCATTGCCCTTTCACAGCAGTGGCAGTCCAGGTATCTCTGCCAGCAGCTCCTGCTCTGGTTCTGGTTGGGGAAGTGCTTGTTACAGGGCAGTCTGGTAGCTCTTGGTTCTGGTCTTGATGTCTTCTGTCCCGTTGCTGACTCCTAAAGGCGTCCCTGAAGCAGCTCGTAGCTTACTGTGACCTTCAACAAAGACACCTCCACCTGGCCATTTATATTTATTTTGGTGGATTAAAAATGGTCTTTTCTTTTTCAATTTTGGATTACTCAGGTTTATGATTCAAAGACTACAAAAATGGTAGCATTTCCCAGTGAACCGTTCTAAAATATTTTAATGTTTTTACTTTTTTTAATTGAAGTATAATATATATACACGAAACCATGCACGGATCATAGCTGGACGTGTTATCACAAATTAAACACAGCCCTCTAACCAGAACTTAGATCAAGACCAAAACATTACCAAACCCCAAAACCCCGTGGGGCTCCCATCCAGTGAACACCCCTGGCCAAGGGGAACCACTACCTCTGACTCCTAAAAATTAAATGTAATTTTATGAGGTGCAAAATTATTATTATTATTTTTAAAATATATTTTATTGATTTTTGTACAGAGAGGAAGGGAGAGAGAGAGTTAGAAACATCGATGAGAGAGAGAGTCATCGATCAGTTGCCTCTTGCACACCCCCTACTGGGGATATGCCCGCAACCAAGGTACATGCCCTTGACTGGAATCGAACCCGGGACCTTTCAGTCCCCAAGCCAATGCCCTATCCATTGAGCCAAACTGGTTTCAGCATGGAAGAAGATACAACTTTTAAAGTATATCACATCTTAGTATATCTGACATAAATCTACACTAGCATAGAATATGTCACATAGAAGAAATTAGTCACATTACCCCCTGTTCTGCCTATGTGGGATTGTTTTGTGCTGGCTCATTTAAATTTATATGTTCAATATTCTCCTTGTTTAAAATGCATGTTTGCTCTCCTGGGAAAGCACTGCCTTTGTGCTCCCAAGTTTCTCTACTCGGTGTTCCTGTCATTACCTCTCCCTTGGGGAAGCATATGAATCTAATTAGTCTACTATTTGCAAATGGCCCTCATCTGAGCACATTTTTAATCACCAACAGAGTTGGCCTACATTCTAAAGGCCATCAAGGCATGCATTCCTCCCTCCCTCGGTTGCATACTCAGCTAACAAGCCATATTTGTTGAATACCAGCTTGGTACAGAACATCCTACCAGGTTCATAAGAAGATATTAGAAGATATCAGCCTTGCTCTCTAGGAATTTAGCAGTGTAGTGTGGTGTTTAAAACGGTGGAATCTGGAGCTGGACTGCTTAGATCTATATTTCAAGTTCACCACGTCCTAGCTGTGTGATTTTAGGTGAGACACTTAATACTGTGTCCCATTTTCCTCGTTTGAGAGAAGAGTCTAAGAATACTTATGTCATAAAATTATGGGGTATATTGTTAATATGTGTCAAGCATTTTTGAACTGTTCCTGGCACACAGTAAGTACCTCATTAAATTTTAGCTGCTTTAATAATAATAATAATCACCATAGAGATCAGAGATAAAACACTGAAGTCAGAACCAAGGTAGCACATAATTAAATTCCATTATGAGTGAAGAAAGCAAATTGAAGCATCAGAGATTACTGAATTGGCTGCCTGTTCCATATGCCATCTTGCCTCCATGATACAAGGCAAGGACTCACTCTGACATGAACCAATTGATTGCCCTTGATTAGAATAGAAAAAGAGAAGACTATATAAAAATCATGTTCAAGGAAGTTTTGAATAAAACTCCCCAGTATGTCTTTCCCAAATCTTCCCCACTCTCCAATTCAGGATGCTCTTTCTGTCCCCACACCTGTCTGGATCTGTTCACTGGATCTGTTTCTATTACGGAATATTTAGCAGATAAAGACTTGATTGCACAGCATTCTCATTTGTCCTTGAGGTCTGATGAGTCATTTGTACCTTAGTACTGTCCTCATATTCTTTTTCATTGAGTATCTGGTTAGAAGTTAGATATAATGAAAGAATGGAAATTTGTTGTTTGGAAGAGAAATGAGTAATTTTGAAATACAGAATGCTTTATTTTATTTTTTTCTCTAAGTAGGAGTTTTGCAGTGGGGGTGTTGGGTAGCATGACATCATTGGGAATGGGGGAAGGGACAAACAAAATCAGTCGTAGGATGTCAAAACCTGTCTAATCTCTTCTGAATGTTACCTGTTATTGTTAATTCATTCATATTCTTATAAATGAAGTAGGCTTTTTGGGAGGCCAAGCTAAGAAACTAACTACCATATTATACATTCTAAGGGAAGATGAATTCCAGCTTTCAAATAATGAAAAGTGTTAAAGTTAAAAAAAAAATTTTGGGGGGGCGCCAGGGGTTCCTTTGTAAGTGAGGTAAACAGTAATTGCTTTGTAAGTGCAAGAGAGATTTTTTTTTTTTTAATTGAACATTATAGTGATAGAAGGAGTTAGGGAAGAAGTAGAGCTTGAACTGGGTAAGCGTGAGTATATCTGAAACTTAAGATGAGATGGGTCAATTGGTATTTTAAATTTCTAGCCGGAAAGTCTGAATTCTTTCCCTAGGAGGGAAATAGTTTTCTTTAGTATTGTCTTATACTGCAAACACAACCCCAAATTATCATTGCTTCTTGGTTTTAAGCTATTATGACACTCTATAATTTAAAAAAAAATTGATGGAAGATTTCATTTATTTTTATAGGACCTGGGGTTTCCAGTTTGAGAAACTTTTCACTTTGAAAATCACGTTAGATAACAGGATCTCCTAGCAGTTTATGTACGATACCACAGTCTAGCTCTGTTAAACAACCGTAACAATGCGCTCTGTGGGCCTTGAGGTTTAAAGAAGAGAATCTTCAAAGCACTCTGTTCTTCGGCATGACCTGGGGTACACCCAGTACACTAATCCCCTTCTGCTATTCCAGTTCACTTTCTAGATGACAAATACAGTGTTTTCCCCTCACCTGTGATACTGTGTGGAAAGTAAATGGGGAGACCAAGAGAACCTTGGTCTCTGGAAATTTTATAGAAACATCTGTAAAGTAGGAGTTAATTTTGTGGAAAGTAAAATTTCTATGCAGTTTTCAGGGGATTCCGTGAAGTGTGTGTCTGTGTGTGTGTAGAAATTCAGAATTCAGAATGACCACCGATGAAAATATTTACGGGATGTCTGATGGTAATAATACATAGTATAAATGAATATGTATAAATTAGAAAAAAATTTAAAGAGCTCTCTATCTGATATAGATAATGGGCCACAATGTAAATCTTTATGAAATGTGTGAAACTTAAGCACCTAGTGTGTCTTTTCAAATGGCTGCCATGTCTATTTCAATTTCCTTTTATTTTTTTTGCTGGTGAACACTTATTTTTATTTATTTTAGTTTCCTTTTTAGAGGTTTTTATTCTTTATTTCTTGTTTGTTTTGTTTTTCTTTTAATCTTTATTGTTGAAAGTATTAAGTCGGTCCTCCCCACCCCTCCGCCCCATTAACTTTTTTTGCCCTCTTCAGTCCTCCTTCCTCCCCCCAGGCCTTCGCCACCGCATTGTCTGTGTCCAAGGGCTGTGCATATATGCATACAAATTCATTGGTGGATCTCTTCCCACCCATCCTCCCCTGCCTCCCCTTTTCCCTTTAAGGTTGTGATTTAACTTGTGCTTCATAAAGGATTTTTAGATATAATATGTCTGCAATCCAATTTAAACAGCATCCCAGGTCAGTTCTGAGAATACTTAGGAAAGGTGTGTGTGAATGATTTTTTATTTCTAAGCTCATCATTTTGATACAAATACCCATGGTTTTCTTCTGTGTTTACATGCAGCCAGGAGCTATGGGCGGAGACGAGGTAAAAAAAAAAATTTTTTTTAATGAGATATTTTGCTTGCCAAATTATGAGTAAATATGAGTGTGTGCATGTTTATAGCTGTGTGTGTAAAACAGTTAACATATGGTATGATGTTCTAGCTTAATTATTTTAGTGACATAATTCTCTTTTTTGTTGTTAGTTGATAATTTGTTCTTTAATTCTAATAAAGACATAGCAAAGACTATTTCTACTGGGAAGTGTTTGTTATATGATTTATTGTGAATGATCTTGAGGGAATACAAAAAAGAATTTTTATTTTATTTTATTTTATTTTTTTGGTCCTGTATCCACTGAGGTCTTCTCCTACCACTTAGAAGCAGAAGCTGGGAATTAGAAGGCAGTTCTTGATCTTAGTAGGTTGGCTGGTGAATTTTTGTGTGTGTTATATCCAGATGCAGATTTACCTTGAAGCTAAATGAAGCTCCAGTTTCAGGCAACTTCACGTTCATGAGCCCCCTCCACAATCTTTATTATTTTTGTGTTCTTTTTGTTAAAGAGGGATCCCCAACTTGCATAGTTGCTAGGCTCCATAGAACTTGCATCTTTTCCTGGTCATCCCAAACAAAATAATATTGCTCTCACGTGTATAATGCTTTAGCCTTTCTAAAGTATTTCCATATCTATAATTTGTCCAAATAATTTTAATAAGTAGGTAAGTTTAATGTAGTAGAAAGAGTATGAGATTTAGGACCTAGATTGTAATCATTGCCTTATCACTTTAGTCTGGAATCCTCATCTGTAAATGATGAGGTAATATAATCAGTCTTGTTCAACCCCAAGAGTGTTAATGAAATTATAGTATAAAAAAATGGGAAAGGAAAACCTATCCATGTAAGCTAAAAGAAATCCAGAAATATAAGTTGCTTTGGTACTCAGCTCATTTGTAGAAAGGAGGAGAAATGAAGTAATTTACTTACTATGTGATCTCAAGTTAAGATCAGAGGCAAATCTGCTACCTTTGTCTTTTGGATGCTTATTGGGTGTTGTTTACCCTTTATTGGCTGTCTCTGACTTGCTAGTTGAATCTTGAAGAGAAGATAACATTGACTTCATAACATTTTATTATTTATTTCATAGTAAATATTTGTTGAATTGATGAATATTGGCTGAGCCTAATATGTATTTGAGTTGCCATTGAAACCTTCTTTCGTGGTGGAATCATACAACCGGTTCTGTTTTCACCTCATGGCAAAGAAAAACATTTGTGTTGTTGGTTATTTTTTAACCCTGGAAATAAATACCATTTAACATTTTAAACCTAAGTTATTATTATTTTTGTTTTTATTTTAGAGAGAGTGGGAAAGAGAGAGAGAGAAGCATCAATTTGTTTTTCCACTTAAAGTATAGAAAAAACATTACTAGAAATCATTTTGTACTATTTTTTATCCTCGGCTGCTAGAAAAATGATCACACTCAGGAAGGAATAGGGAATGGACCATTTTACACGTAAAATAAACACCATCTGGAAGGTTGATGACGGGGACTGCACAGTGCTTAGTTACCAGATCTTGTTAATATTTCCCCACTGGTTTCTCAGGCTCTGCCCCTCTCCTTCCATTTGTATTCTCTCACCTTTCTGAAGTGCCACTTTGCCCATGTCACACACCCCTTTCCGTTCAGGACCCCCATCATCGGGCTTCTCCCAGTCTCACCAGTCTCACCAGTATGAGGCTTCTGCTGCCTCATACTCTTCCTTTCTTTCCTGTGTGCCCTGATTCTTCAAGCGGAGGACAGTTGACACTGTGATAATTCATATAGTTAGCACTTAACACTATTTAGTGATGACGATTGCTTTAAAGCAACACCCCATATCTATGCAGAACAAAGCTTGGAATTATATTTTAAAAAAATTTTTTTTTACAAGTTATAGTATATTAAATATAAGGTCACCTGTAGTTTCTAAACTCATGAAAAGGAATTACTCTTCTTACTTTCATGTTACCTTCTCAATATCTATGTGTGAGTTTTGGCTCAATCGTTTTCAGAAGCCACAATCATCTTTGCATCAAATGCTAAGCTCAGTACCCTAGATCAGCGGTCAACAACCGGTGGTATGCAAATCACCGGTGGTCCATGGGGTCCAAAAGGTTGGTGACTACTGGCTTAGATGACTTGACCCCTACTCCCTGTAAGGCTGTAGTTTGATAGTTGTAAATGGAGAGAGGGAGAGGGAGAGGGGGAGGGGGAGAGGGAGGGGGAGGGGGAGGGGGAGGGAATGAGAATGAGAATGAGAATGAGAATGAGAATGAGAATGAGAATGAGAATATGTGTTTTCCTGTGTAACTGCAGTCCCTGTTAGAAACTGGTCTAACAGGTGGTATACAGGGTCTTTGGCTTAGATGTTGTGTTTTTCATTGCACATGAATTTTTATGGACACTGGGAGGCTTCTGTCCATAGGTAGACATGTTGTATGTGTGGCAGTGCTCTTGCTGCTTCACAGCATTTCTTAATGAAAGAGCAGCAAGGAAAATAAAGATCTTTTTAAACAATGTACGTGAGCAAATACAGATAATGTGTGGAGTTACTTTACTCTTGGAGTTGCTGTTGTAAAATGTACTTCTGTGTATATTTAATCCATAAAAACTTGATTGACCTTAATGGATGGCTTAGTTGATAAACAGTGGTTCTAAAAAGTCAATAAGACAAACTTGTGTACCAGGTTAGCATTGGGTCTTTCTGCCAAAGCCCGCCCAGGGGAGGAGAGATCAGCTATCTCAGTGAAACCATGGTGCAAGCATGCCACCTGCTCATCCAAACCTGATGATGTGAGCTTGCTTGAATAAAGAGATGGTTGGTTCTAGAGTGAAACATGGACGGCTAAAGAAATTTCTGAGTGCTCATGATTAAAATCTCTGAAATGTTACTTTTTTGTTGCCACAGGAAACTCTGAGCACAGGCCCTGCTATGAGGAATAGCACTAGCCTTTCACCTTTGCCCAAAGGCGCCTAAAGAAATAATGGAGGAGGGGCTCTTGGTGGCCCACCCTCATTTCATTCATGACGTGTTTGTGTGCTTACTCTGGGCCAGCTGCTGAGCTAACTTGTATTATTATTTTTTTATTTTTTAAAAATATATTTTATTGATTTTTTACAGAGAGGGATAGAGAGTTAGAAACATCGATGAGAGAGAATCATCAATCAGCTGCCTCTTTCACACCCCCTACTGGGGATGTGCCTGCAACCAAGGTATATGCCCTTGACCAGAATCAAACCCAGGACCTTTCAGTCCACAGACCGAGCTCTATCCACTGAGTCAAACCAGTTTTGGCTGGGCTAACTTTTAGATGTGTTCTGTCCCTCAACTAAGTGTTCATTCTAGTAGGAGAGAGGGACACTCAATAAGTAAGTGAAACAAACATTTTTATACTCAAAAGTTCTGCAGGAAAATGGGAGGTTCCCTCCAACATAGGATAGTGTTCACTGGAGAGATGTCATTTAAACTGAAATTGAAAAGATGGAAAGACAGCTATCTTTAAACTTTTTTATTATGGAAATTTACAAGCACACACAAAAATAGGATAGTTTAATGAACTATGTACTCATTACTTAGTATCAATGATCATCAACATTTTTGCCAATTCTATTTTCATATATTCCCCCCTTCGAGTATTTTAAAGAAAATTCCAGACATTATAAGACAGCTATTTTAAGAGGCTTGAGGTAAAGTATTGTGTGTGTGGGGGGGGGGGGGGGGGGCGGGAGAATAGTAAAAGACTGAATGTTACAACATTGATAAATCTTGAAAACATTATGCTAAATGAAAGAAGGCAATTATAAAAGATCACAGATCCCACTTCCATGAAATGTCCAGAATAGGCAAATCTATTGAGATAGAAAGTAGACTAGTGGTTGCCTAGGGCTGAGAGATTTGAGGAAAATGGGGAGTGATTGCTATTGGATTCCATGGGTGAATTGTGTGATATGTGAATTATATCTCAGTAAAGCTGAGGGAGGTGGGGCTTGGTGAAAGAAAGGGCTTTGTGTGTTTGAGGAAGTAAACGGAGCCCAAAATGGTTGAGCTTGGAAGGGGCAAGGGGAGAGTGTCTTAAGAAGAAGTTGGAGGAAGGAAGGAAATCTGATCACACTGGGCTTTAGCTCCTGGTAAGGATTTTGAACTTGGTCCAAGTACAAGAGGAAATCTATTAATGTTTTAAAACCAGGGTCAAGTGATTGGATTTGTGCTTTTCAAAGAGCACTCCGGCTACTGTTCGGAGTGCTGTGAGAGGAGTAGGCCGTCTCATTCAGAATGATAGGTAAGAGAGGATGACGTTTTAGGGCAGGGTAATGGCAATGGACTTGGAAAGAAGTGAACAAATGGAAAGTAGATTATGGAGGTTGGAATCTACCCTCTTTGATGGCATCAGATTGAAGAATTGAATGAGGAAAGTAAATCAGAAGAAAGACTGAACCTGATGGTCAGGTTCCAGCTTGAGCAATTGTGTGGATTGTGAGGCTACATATTGAAATAGGAGTAGGAGAGAATAGGTTTAAGATAGATGCCAGGAGTTCATTTATAAACAGATTCAGCTTGTGATACCCAGATAGCAATACCAAGAAAGATGTATTTCTATCTATTTGTATAGTAGGGTTTTATGGAAGACTTTTGTGTAATAAAAGGAAGTCTGCTGCCCTCAGAGATTTGAAAAACCTCATCTAGTTTAAATATCTCAATATGTAAATGAGACTCAGGTAAGTGCTATATCTTGGCCAACATCACAGATTACTGACTCTCTTGACTTACTGGAAAAAGAAAAAAATTTTTAAGGGAGATTTACCATTTTAATCCATTAAAAAAAATCCCCAAAGTTATTATTTCCTGAGCTATTTGCAAAACTAAGATGAAAAGGGTCAGGCTCGGAATGGATGCCCTGGGCCAGAAGCGCCCTGGTGCTATTGATCCACAGCAGAGGCCGTGGAGGGAGCTCACAGGTGAACAGGTGAGGTCAGAGCAGCTTTGTGTGTTGGGAAGGAAGTCCAGC